TACTGCCTGCATGTATATAAATGCACCTGTATCGTGCAATGCCTGCAGAAGTCAGAAGAGGGCATTGGAACTGGAGTTACGGACACTTGTTAGCTGCCACATGAGTACTGGGAACTGACCCTCGGTCCTCTGCAAGAGCAGCCAGTGCTCTTAACTGCTGAGCCATCTTTCCAGCCCCATGAATCTCTTTTCTAAAGCTAGGCTACTGCACAGCTTTAAGGCCTTTTACTTATTTAAGAACTGTGAAATTTTCCAATATACCTAGGTATCTAAGCTAGTAAGTTGTAGACTCTATTCCACCTTTACACCTGTTATGTTTAGGTACAGGTGATGGGATCTGATTATTGCTCTGCTGCTGTCCCAAGTCTCTGGACTTTGCAAGGTTTGTGCTTCTCTACTGCTGAATACGCAATTCTATACCTGTTGCTTTGGTTCTTCATCATGGAAGAGCCTTGTGTGCTGGGTGTTCCTCTTTAGTCATTTGGCCTGTCCTCTCTGTTCTCTCTTTTAAAGGCTGCTTTAGCTATTCTGGGTTTTTCATATTTCCATATGAATTTAGGATAAATTTTGTTAATTTCTACAAAAAATTCTGGTTATTTTTGAGGTGGATTGTGCTCAGTCTATTTATCATTTTGGTGAGTAGTATTGCCAAGTATGTGATTTACAAATATTTTTCCCTAGTATGTAGTTTCTTGAGGATCAGAAGTTTATAATCTTCACAAATTTCTTTTATAATTTTTTGGTATATGTGGTATATGAGTGAGTACATATTCATATTTGTGCATATGTGTGGGTGTGTGCATGTGGAGGTCAGAGGTTGATGTCAGGATATCTTCCTCTATCACTCTCCACCTTATTTTTTGAGACAGAGTCTTTCACTGAACCCAGAGCCTGGGGCTACAGGCTTGGGCTGTCATGCTTAGCTTTTAAGCGGGTGTTGGGGATCAGAACTCTCATTCTCATGCTGTGCAACAATCATTTTATTGACTAAGTCACCTTCCTAGCCTCCTCCTTTTATTATTTTTAGTTTTGTTATGGATCATATTTTTGGCCAGATGTTTTCTAGTTTTCTTTACATAAGTTTTGCACATTTGTTAGTTTACCTCCTCCATTTGGCTGCTACTGCAAATGGGAGTTTCCCTTTTATCATATATTCTATTAGATTATTTTAAACCATTAACTAAAATGCTGATTTTAATATTGAGGCAAAAGTTTTCAGTGATACATTCAATTCTCAATATTTCCCCCCTCAGTAGTATGATGTTTTTCTGCCAAACTGCTTTCAAAGCAGGTGAGACATTTCGTATTTTTACTAGCGGTGTATGAAAGCTCCATTTGCTCTACATCCTTACCACTATTTGATATATTTGATATGACTAGTCTCTCTCTCTTGCTCTCTCTCTCTTTCTCCCTCCCTCCCTCCCCCCTCAAAGCCCAGCCACTTAAAGTTAGAGTGCTATCTCATTAACTACTTTTAATTTGTATTTCCTAAAGAAACTACTTTGTTGAACATCTCTATTCATGTGTTTACATGCCCTCCATATGCTCAATAGAAGTAGTAAGAACAAGGGGCTGGAGAGATGGCTCAGCTGTTAAGAGCACTGGCTGCTCTTGCAAAGGACCTGAGTTTGATTCCCAGCACCCACATGGTGGTTAACAACCATCCATAACTCCAGTTCCAGCAGATCCAATGCCCTCTTCTGACCTCCATGGGCATTTGCACTTATACACATAAAATTAAAAAAAAAAAAGAAGTGGAAAGAACAGACATCTTTTGTCATGCTCCTGATTTCAAAGGGGAAATATTCTCTTTACCATTAAATTTGGTGCTATCTGTATTCATAAATGCCCACTAAGATTTAGGAAATCCCTTTATATTTCTAGCTTACTGAAGAGTTTTTGAAAAGGAGTTTATTACATTTACTTCTTTATTTGTGTATGTATATTCATTATGTGTGGTATGTTCATGCATGGACATCAGAGGACAACTTGAGACAGTTGGTTCTCTTCTCTACCATGTGGGTTCTGGGGATCAAACTGAGGTCATCAGTCTTGGCAGCAAGTGACTTTACCCACTGAGTTTCTCATGTAAGGCAAACACTCTCACTCAGCTATATCTTAGCCCATATTTAATTCTTAATCATTCTAGGTAAAGATTTATCAATTTTATTAATATTTGCAAAGAGTCAAGTTTTGATTTCAATGATCTCCATTATTTTTCTGTTCATTGATTTATGTTCTAATTTTTATTGTTTCCTGTGCTCTGCTTACTCATAAGTTAACTCTCTCTGTTTAAAATCTAAATTTCCTGAAGTGGAAGATGAGGTCATTCACTAAAATTCTTCTTCCTCTTCCTAAGTGTTCAGTGCCATAACTCCCCCCATCAGAGCTGCTTTAGCAGCACCCTACAAACTCTGAACTGTTTAGGCTTCATTTCCATTCAGTTGAAAATACTTCCTGATGCTCCTTTTAGCATCTCAGAACTGTTGAGCATGTTTCCAAATATTTGGAGATTCACTAGGAAACTTTTCACTATTGGTTTTTGAGTGTGTGTGTATATGTATGTGTGGGTACATATGTAGGTGCAGGTATATATACACGAGTATGTACATGTGGAAGTCAGAGGCTAATTTCGGGGGTCTTTCATCAGGAGCTATCCATCTTGTGTTTTTGAGACAGTGACTTTAACTGGCCTGAAGCTTGCCTAGTAGGCTAGGTTGACTGGCCAGTAAGTTTAGGGATCTGCTTGTCTCTACCTCCTCAGTGCTGAAATTATAAACACACACTACCATCCCCAGCTTTTAGATATAAGGATCCAATTCAGTTCCTCATGCTTGTCCAGCAAGCACTTTGCCTTTTTCTTTTTTCGCTCAAATTAGTTCATTTTATTTTTTTGCGTGTGAGTGTATTGCCTACATGTATGTAAGTGCACCTGTGTTATACAATGCCTGCAGAGGTCAGAAAAGGGTGTTGTATCTCCCAGAACTAGAGTTACAGATGGTTGTTGGCCATCATGTGGGTGCTGGGAACCAAACCTGGGTCCTCTGAAAGAGCAGGAAGTGCTCTTAACCACTGATCCATCTCTCTAGTCCCTAACTTTGTTCTTGATTATATTATTTTTGACAAGAAATACAGTGTCAATCTTATCTTAGTTATCTTATATGTAATGTGTGTTTTCTCTAGCAGTAGCTTTGTATAGTTTAACCATGATATGCCTTGGTGTAGTTTTCTTATTTCTTATTCTGCATTGAGTTTCTTGAATCTGTAGGTCTATAGCTTTCCTAGTTATTTGTAAATCATAGCCAGTATTACTTCATATACTGTTCTCTCCATTCCTCTTCCATGGGAACTCCAATTACATGTCTATTTGGCAACCTTAAGCTATCTCATGGTTTATTGGTCCTCTGTTCATTTTTTATCTGAGTTCTTTTTCTCTGTCATTCATTTTGATTAGCTTATATTGCTATGTTGAGTTTACTAATAGTTTATTCAGCCATTAATATTAGCCAGCATACTTTAAAAAGATTTATATTGTTTTATGTGTATAGGTATTTTGTCTACATATATGTGTGCCATGTGCATGCAGTACCCACAGAGACCAGGAGAGGGCATCCCAATCTCCTGGACTGGCATTATAGACCGCTGTTAGCTGCCATGTAGGTGCTGGGAACCAAACCCAGGTTGTTTGCAAGAGCAGTCAGTGCTTTTAACTGCTGAGCCATCTCTCCAGCTGCTTAACCAGTGTATTTTTAATTTCATACAAGACAGTTGAGAGTTTTTGCATCCTTTATTTCTCTGTTTAAGTTCAGAGATATCAAACAACTAAAATAATAGTTTAATATGTTAATCTGATCTTCTATGATCAGTGTAGGTTCTAAATAAATCTTATCCAATCCTCTTTGCTACTGACTGCATTTTCTTGCCTCTTCACATGCCCAGTAATTCTTGACTGGATGCTAGGCACTCTGAATTTACATTTTCTTGTGCTTTGTTTCCAGATGCAGTTACCTGGGAACCATTTGATTCTTCTGAGTATTACTTTTATGAGTTGTTGTGTGGAAAGTGCCCAGTCTATGACTAATTATTTCTTATTATAAAAAAAATCCTGAGTATTCTTCCAGTGCCCAATTAATTGCGAGATTTTCCAGGAACTATACTTCGTTCTGTGTGAATAACATGCTCTCCTCTTTCTAATACTTCCAGATGGGTTTTCCATTGGCCTTAGGTAGCTCCTTCAAAACTCAATAGTTCTACTTTCTCAAATACTTGCAGATGATCCTCTGCAGGTATTTTGGGTTTTTCTATGTTAAAGTCTATTTTCTCTCACACTTTGACCATAAGTTTTAGCTACTTTGGTGTCCCTGAACTCTCAGTATCATTTTCTTGAATCAGGGAGTCTGCTGGCTCAACCTAGGTTCCCATTCCCTGGGTCATGACCTGGAAAGTGTCTTCTGACAGTAATTTGGCAAATCACACAGGGCTCAGTTCATTTCTTTCTCATTTCTCATATTACTGTTTAGTTGCCTGATATTTGGTGATTTGAAAACTACTGTTTAGTATATTTTGAGTTGAAATGTTTCCAGTGAAAATATGAATTTAGTCTGTATTTCAAATAAACAGAAATAATGTCCCCCAGTAGGACTAGGTTCAGTGTCCCTAAGGAAAGATAAGACTGTGGCAGAAGTGTTGAAAGCAGGGAAAAGAAGACTCCTTCATATTCAAGAACTATCTAACTTTATAATTTTCTTTCTTAACTGTTTGAATTAAGAGCTATAACAACACAGAATACCCTCTGAGGCAAAGAAGAAGGTTGTTACTTGGAATGAAGTTGTGAGAGTACCTGCTGCTAAAACTCTGTGACCAAATTCTACTTGATTTTCTCCCATACAAGTTTATTTTGGACCCTCAGGTGAGAAGTCAAAGGGCTCCTAACTTTTTCTTGTGTTCAAGCACCAGAACAAATAGTCTCCCACCTACTAACCATGTTGAGAATTAATTACCTGCTTGAAGCAATGGACAGGCGCTGGGACTGAACATGTTTCTTTTAGGTATTTGTCCCAGGTAAAATGACCTGCAAAGGAAATAGAAATCTCTAATCACGGTCAACTTCCTAAAAAATGCTTTAGGATGTACTCTACACTAAACATTAAGCCATTTGCAGATTAGTTTTAAATATAAGAAAACTTTTTTTCTCTACTTGAATTTAATTAAAGGAGTTCTAGGGAGAAGATCCAGGTGCCCTGGGTAGATCTCTTGGATTTACTAATGTTTTAAAAATTATGATCTCAACATGACCTAAGGTGTTCTTCATGCTAGTTCAAAACTCACTCAAAATGCCAGAGTAGGGTATACTAATATCTCAAAGAAGTACATGGAAAACAGAAGAGACTGACAGTACTGGAGAATTGTTCTCTTTGAACAACCAGACTCTTGGAGCAGTCCTGCATTGCTGTGCGGTAACACCATTTAGCACCTGATATGGTTGGATCCCACCACCTCAGCTTAGGAAGTATAAAGGAAAAACTATCTGGAAACATGGATGAAAAAATTAGAGGGGCAGGGAAGCCATATGAATGAAATATATTTGAGTCTTCACTTTTTTTTTTCAGACAAGGTCTCTCTGTAGCCCCAGCTGGCCTGGAACTCACTCTGTAGATCAGGCTGGCCTCAGCCTTGCAGAGATCACAGTTTTGTGCTTCTGCCTACTGAGTGCTGGGATTAAAGGCATGCACCACCATGCCTGATACTAAGTCCTCACTTTTTAAATTGCCATCCCAACCATAGATTTATTGCCCTGGGTTCAAAATGATGAATATCTGATAAGTAGCCCCAAATAAACTTTGGGAAACAATTCTAATGACAATAAGGAAGAGCAAATTGGGTTGTCTATAGAATCTTTGAGCCTCTTGATATGGCATTAGAGTATCTCAAAGTGCAAAGAACAATGTGCTAGGGGAACAGCAGTGACCCTACTCTGGGCCCAGGAAAACATGCGAAGACATAGGCTGTCATGTACAGAATTATTGAACCATAAAATATTACCAAGTACTTTATTTCAAAGTTAAAGCAATTTACAATTTCCCCCTAATACCCACCTAGAGGTGACCCCATGATGGAGCAGGGAAGGTCCCAGAGACTCTCACAAGCTAAAACACTGTAGCAAACCAGCATTTCTTGAAGTTTCCTCTGTAGTGGAGCAGCACAGGGCCCCTTTGGGCCATGCAAAAAACACTAGATGCTGGGGAAAAAAATGAATCACTGAATAATGAAATCTAAATCACTCCAAAGATGATGCCAAGACTTTACACTCTACTGACTTTATAGCTTCTGTTTTAGAATTGGTCCCTTTCCCACCATCCTTAACTAAACAAATAGGTTTGGCCAGAAATCACATTAGTTCTGAAATATTCCACAAACTAGTCCCTGGTTAATCATCATAACCAGGCAGTTAGTCCACAGGGTAAATGATATGGATATTTCCTGGAGTGAAGATTTTTAAAGAGGTTATCAAAATTTAATAAATAATGTGCTTGAGAAAGTCTTAAATCAAGGATTGAATACATTTTTATCATTATTTGCTGTTAGAACAAGAAAATATTATAAATCATTGTTACATCTTTACAAATGAAAGATTAAGTCAAATTGTAAGTCTTGGATTTCATTGGATTGACACTCTTAACCTCTAGCATCTAGAAAAAGTCCAATTGAACTCTTCTGTGTGATATAAATGAATTCTATATCTGTGCTATCCAGTAAGATAACCCCTAGCCTCATAGAACAGCTGAAAATTTTTAATGTCATCAGTGTAAGGAACTATATTTAAATTTTTATTTAATTTTAAATAATTTAAATAGCTCTATGTGGCTGAGAGCTACATAGAGTTACTGTGTCAGGCAGCATAGGTCTAGAGGCTTGGTCAGTTCTGTATAATTGCTTGTGTTAGCTTGAGTTTTGATCAAAAGCACTCAGGAGACTTTGGTTTTAAGAATTATGGTAGCATTAAGTACAGTTCCCTATTACACATATCAACCACGGTAATAAGTTCTTGTGCTATAAGGTAAAGGGGCCATAAACCTCAGATATTACACCATGTAGGAAACTTCCTATTACTAACTGAATAAAAAGGAACTTCGCTAAAACGAGTCCATTCACTGTGACTGCTGACTGATTTGAACCATCCCTAGATTAGTATTTTTCTTCTATTTGATTTCCTAGGTTATCTAATGCTTAGTCTCTTATTACTAGGTAAATTTCAAATTAAGACAATTTTTATTAACCCAATGAGAACATCTGAATACCTCCTATCATGCTTATCATAAAGTCAGATATTACATATGACTTTCAAATCTGCAAGCATTAAAATCATCGCCAAAAAATGACAGCAAGCAACATATGGATCAGGAGATAATAAAGAACAAGATAACAAAACTATCAGGCTTCGTAAGTTAGATAGTCTATGTCACAACTATGAATCTCTGCCACTGCAGTAGTGTGACAGCAGCTACAGAAAACGTGCAAATGAAAGGGAATGCTTCTTTTCTATGAGAACCACTGGTAAAAACGCATAACATACTAAGTTTACTCCCCAAACATGAGTCTCACAACTCTTGGTCTAAAGCGCTGAATCCTAGGTGTTCTCATTTCTTCAAATTTCAAGATACTTCAGAAGTTCTTGCTTAGGAGACTTCAAGTACTCAGATAATTCTAGTTAAGTCTAGAGTCTACCCATATATTTTAAAGAGGTGACATTGGATGTAAAAGAAATGCTGCTGAAGTCTTATTTCCATAGCTAACTATCTTGAGAAAACTTAGTCTTCTCATCTGAAAGTAGAGATAGTTGCATATTGCTTAAAATTGTATATGATTCTTTATTTGATAAATACTTAATATCCTTCCAAGTGTCAAGAACTATGGTAAATGTTAGGGAACCAAGAGAGAATTTGTAAATCATAGAGCTTTCAGTGCAGTGATAGGCAAAGGTACTAAATAAGTAGCAACACAAATAATGTTGCAACTAAGATAAATTTAAGATAATAAGATAATACAGATTACCATGAAAATGCAGTTAGGAATATTTAAAGATTTTATTTTGTGTGTGTGTATGTGTGTATGTTGAATATGAGTACATGTGCACAGATACTTGAAGAGGTCATCAGAGTCCCTGGAGCTCTAGTTACAGGCAGCTGTAAGGTGCCCAACATGGGTCTTGGGAACCAAACTCAGGTCCTCTTAACCTCTGAGCCATCTCTCCATGCCCATCATATGGAAATTTAGTCCATACTCTACTTCGTTCTACTTAAATATAGAAAATACCTAAGAATAATGATCATGTCTTTAGATTAAAAATCCTACTCCAAGATTACAATCTAAATATTGTTTCATTGTGCATATATACCAAAGCTTATAGAATCTAACAACTACTGATGATCATTTAAGTGTGGTCTAATTTTTAATTCATATCTTTTTGTATACATCTTTGAGTACTTTTAAGATGTTCTCTGTGATGGTTAATCTTGATTGTTAACTTGGTTACATTGAGAGATACTTAGGAGATTATTAAAGCCTTCTCCTGGGTGTGTCTGAATGGGTATTTCCAGAGATGACTACAGCATGAGGGCTCTGATCTATTCAATGATTTAATCTATTGATAGGTTCAAATTTTTAACAGATTATTGGAAGGAGATGAGACTGTGAAAGACGGGGTCAAGTTGAAAGAAGTGGGTCACATAGTGTGTGCCTTTGATGGGCATCTCTTGGCTCTAGTTGCTTCCTGTTATTCATCTTTGTCCCCGTTTACAACAGGATAATCAGTTTTCCTTTACTATGTTCTTAGTTCATGACACTTCCACATTGCTATGAACCTAAACCTTGCAATGGAGCCAGCTGATCATGGACCAAAACCTCTGAAACAATGAACCAAAACAAATCTTTCTGCCTTTAAACTGTTTTCTCTCAGATATCTGTTTTACCTTTCTTTTTATGCTTTTATCAGCCCATATTACTTACACATAAGAGTTTCGTTATGATATTTCAACATGCGCCATTAATCTCTGACCCCAATACTCTCGCTTGTCTTCCTCCCACTCTTTCAGGTATAAGTTACAGAGATTAACAAGTCTGACTACGTCTGACTAACTGAGCATGTTGGCACACACCTTTATTCCCAGTCCTTCTGAGGCAGAGGCAGGCGGATCTCTGTGAGATCAAGGCCAGCCTGGTCTCCACAACAAGTTCCAGGCCAGCTGGGGCTACAAGGAGACCCTGTCTTAAAAAAAAGTCTGACTAGTGGGATTAATAGATAATTTGTGGATATCTTAGATTTTGACATAATGTATTTTCCTGGGATATCTTCAAGGTAGATTATATCAATTTCTATTATTATCAAAAGTACATGCTTGTTCTACAGAAAAAGTCAATAAAAATATATTGCCCCCAAAAATCTAGAGAGCTAAAAAAGTACATAAGTGAAGAAGGTGGTATGATTAAAAAACATTGCATACATGTCTAAAATTCTCAATGATAAAGATTTTTTAAAAGTGCATGAGTATGTATTTCTTTTAGCAATCATTAAATTTTGATAAATCATTTTCTTTGTGAGGCAGGGTCTTACTTAAGGGTCCAGTCTTACCTGGAACTTGTTACTTAGCCTAGAGTGACCTCAAACTAGCAATCCCGTCTTAGCTAATATGGTCTTGCTATTGATTGCTAATAAAGCTGAAGATCTTTGGGGGTTTATCAACTAGTTGCATTTCTTTGCCATTTTTCTGCTAACAATCTTTCATTTTCTTATAGATTCTAAGAGGACTCTGCAAATTAAGAATATTAGCCCTTGGGGCAGGAGAGATTGCTCACTGGTTAAGAACACAGACTGTTCTTGCAGAAGACTTGGGTTTGATCCCAGCACCCACATGCCAGCTAACAACTGTCCATAACTTCAGTCCCAGGGGATCCAAAAGCCTCTTCTGTCCTCTGCGGGCATTGCACGACACGGGTGCACTTACCTACTTGCAGGCAATATACGCATACACATAAAAATAATAAATAAAAAAGAAAAAAAAGAGTCTCTGCTTCTCTGGGTCTGCACAACCGGCAGGCCTCCTCCAACCCGCAGGCCTCTCTCCCAGGTAAGTCGATCGCGCCCATCTGCTCCTTGACTCTCCCAGCTTCATTCACCTTCCCATCTCTCCCGCCCGTCTCTCCTCCTAGCCTGGATCCTGTCCCATTCCTTGTCTTGGCACCCCAGACACCTGGGGAACCACCACTGTTTCCTGATCCTTTGCATCGAGACCCAGGAGCACTCTGGGCCTGGCCCCACCCTCACCTCCCTGGACCTGCATAAACCCCCAGCCTCTATCCTGTAGGCCAAGGCTGACCTTTCCTCTTCCTGATACTTTGTATCCAGACCAACTCAGCTCCTCAGTGCAGTCCCCAGGGGCACTTGGGGCTGCCTCCTGCCTCCATCTTCCTTTGCATCTCTGGGTGGCATGGCCACCAGCTGCCCAAGGCCAGCATCTTTCCTGGGCATGGCTCCCAGGCCAGTCCAACCCCCAAATTCCTGAAGCCAAAATCTTTCCTGGAGGGATCCAGATCTTAGGAGAAAGCCTGAGAGCATCTGATCCTCATCTGAACTCCTCTATAGGAACTCCTGAAGACAAAAGCAATCTGGCCACTCCAATATAAAAATCAAAAGAGAGAACTGGAAGCTTAGAGGAACCAGCTTTTCGTGCCCAAAAAGCAAAGCAAAAAGACACATAAAGTTTACAAAAAGAAACAGACCTAATTTGAAGGCTTGAGTCTCACACAAGAATCAGAAACTACAAAAGAAATTCACATGTCATAATCACAGAGAAAAAATAATAACATGAAAAACCAAAATAACATATCCCCACCAAATACCAATACTCCTCTAGAGGAGTACAATGAGAACCCCCTAGAGATAATGCAGGACATGGAACTCAAAAGAACAATTATAAACATGATAAAAGAATTCAGTGAATTTAAAGAACACAAAAAGAAATCAAAGAACCGAAGGAAGAGAGGGATAAACTTCTAAATCAACCCAGAAAAGAGTTAGAAATATTGAAGGATACGCAGGCTGAAATGAAGAAGGAAGTGAACCACTCAGTAAGTCAATTAGAAATGATAGGAGAAAAGCCTCGCCAATAGGATGAATGAAATGGAAAACAGAGTATCAAGACTGGAAGATAAAGTGGATGAACTAGACCACTCAAGCAAAGA